TTATAAGAAGGGCAACAAGAACGAATGTGAAAATTATAGGGGCATTAGTGTTACCAGTTCAATTGGAAGACTGTATGGCCAGATATTAAGAGAAAGATTGGAAACAGAGATGGAGGAAATGGAGGAACAGAGTGGCTTTTGCAGAGGGAGATCTTGCATTGACAATATATTGGGTCTAAAACAAATTATGGAAAAAAGAATCAGTGTAGGCAGAGGGATTCATAGGGTATTTGCAGATCTGAGAAAAGGATTTGACTCGGTACCCCTAGGTAAACTATGGGATACTATGGAAGATGAAAATATAAATAGGGTGTATATAAATGCTATAAAGCGTCTATATGCAAATTGTCAAAGCTGCTTAAAAGTTTGTTCAAGTAGTTCAACTTTTAAAATAAACAAAGGCCTAAAGGCAAGGTTGTTGTATATCCCCTTCTCTCTTTAAAATATATATTAAACGAGTTCTTCACTCCTGGAAGTGAAAATGTAAGGGCGTGGGAAATACCAATTGGTTTAGATTTTTTAATACTTTGATGTATGCAGATGACCAAGTGGTCTTAGCCAGTGATGAGGATGATATCCACTACATGACACGAAAGTTTATTGAAGAATATGAAAAGTGGGGACTTGATATAAACATATCAAATACAAAATACATGGTAGTGGAAGACAATAGTCAGGACGTGGTAACACGTACAGGCATAATTAAATATGGAAAGGAACTCAACTATCTGGGCCCAACTATAACAAGTGATGGTCAAGATAGCATAGCAAGTAGAATCCAAGGAACAGAAATGGAATATTGGAAACGGTGTTGTCAGGTTACAAGAAAGGAAAAAATTAAAAATCAAAGAATAATAGGAATAATGGAACCAGGAAAATCAACCATAGAGATGATAAAAACAAGGCTCTATTATGGTATGGGCATTTAAGAAGGTTGGACAGTGAGCGACTGCCGAAGAAGAAAGATCCTGAAGAAAGAAGATACAGAGGAAGACCAAGAAGGAAGTGGGAGGAAGAAGTGAGATCAATGATGGCAGTGCGAGATTTAGACTATGCCTGGGGAGATCAACAGAAATGGAGATTTGGCAGCGAGAAATTGCGTCAGCTGTAGAATACTCGCTTTACTGCTACTACTAACATGAATTAATTAATTATTGAGAAGAATTATTATTGAGAAGAATCCAAGGCTTAAACTAACGGAGCTTCAATGTAGATTTCAAGAAAGTCATGAAATGATTGTGTCCACAGAAGGTTACAGAAGCATTTAGATGGTTTATTATTCACATTAAAGACTATTTGAAGAGAGCTGAAAAAACTAAAAGCCATAAAATAAAAACAAAACTTCACAAATATGTTCTGCAGCTATTAAGTTATGAATCGGACAATGTTCTTATTTTACATAATGAAACTAACTGTATTAATTTTGAGAAAGCAAGGACATTCTAAGAAAGGAACTCAATGCAGTTACAGCAGTTACCAAAAATATTAATGGCTGAAGAAAGAACAAATAATATAAATGAAATAGAACTTAGAAAAAAATATAAATATCAATGTGAATACAGTAAATGTCAAAAACTGTGGAAAGTTCATGGCTCATATTCAAAGATTCATACCAGATACTTTAAATTAATTTGAAATTGTTGGGTAATTAATTTAAACTAAGTTGTTATTTTTTGGTTTCGTGCAGTTCAATAAGATACATTTTTATTTGCATTCCCTTCCTTTTTTTTCTTTTTCTTTCCCCTCCCCTGATTTCTTCATTTTAATGATGTGGATATAAAAATGTTGGAGTTAATTTTTTTTCTTCTCAATTTGAAGGTGATTCATCTTGATTTGAATGTTTGGTCTTGATTTGAAGGAGCTTGTTACCAATCTGAAAGTGTTTGTTCCCAATATGAAAGTGCTTGTTCTCAACTTGAATGTTTTTGGTCTCGTTTGAAGATGAAAAAGTGTAGTTCTTTAAAAAAAGGGCTTGGGCATCTGTGTCCATATTAAACGACCTGCAGTTTTCAGATTCCCAGTTGCCCAGGGCTTAGGATTATCAGAGGAAAAGACAAAAGACAGACACACATTGACCGATGACACTGATTAGATTGGCAAGTGGAACAAGGAGTGAATATGTTAGTTGCTGCAGTAGTATTGTGCTAGGTTATGCTGGTCAGATTCTAGGAATATTTGGACTTGCATTTAAGATTTAATAGCCACCAGATTCATGAGATTAAATAAATAATTTAATTAATGTGATATAGTTGGAGTATAGTCTGTTGATCAAGGAACTATAATGTGTTTTTCCAAATTAAATAAGCAAGATAATAATTTTAAAAAAAAATGAAGTAAATAAAAACAAAAGATTGACAAGAAATCGTGTTACATTCTATTTGGTCCAGATTTGACTACATCTGGTTTGGAAGTTTAGTAAATTAATTTTATGTAATTTCAGAATGCCAGAGGAAAGTCTCCATCACAGAAGAGCTCAAAGGCTGCAGTTCCTCCAAAAACAAATTCCAGCCGAAAGGAAGTCATTGTCATGAAAAGTGAGAATATTGTGGAGAGTTGCATCACCCTCGACAGCGATAAGAATAGCAACGAAAGTTCTTCTCACCATCATCTACCGCACAGAGAAACATCAGGATCTTCCCCCATTCCTTCTGCACTTGCCAAAGCATCTTCCTTCAGCATACCATTGGCTTCTACTTCGTGCCGAGTTAGAGTAGAAACTGACCGTGATAGAGACAAACTGGAGAAGAATCAATGCTCGTCCCCTTCTGTGTCTACTTTCCCTTCAGGA